TATTGCAGGCTCTTCTAGCTGACAACACAGCAGAGAACTTCATAAAGAAAGTCTCATGATAGCTGTTATTTATTATGCAAATACTGCCTGCCATGGCAACATTGCATGCAGGAGTTTGCTTTATTTGCTCTGGTACATGCATATTCAAATTAAGGCTGCGTACATTGTGCCTCCACATTACAAAGATTTTGTTTTCCTTGACACTTACAGGAGAACAAACTGCAATTAATACAGCCTGTTTAAGCAGACAGCACCCAATTAGTTATCATCCATTTTCAGATTGGGACTCTAGACAAAAAAACATGGAGCTGGCTTCTTACTCAAAAGGAAAATACATCCAAACTACAGGTTTTCAAAGACACATTTTACTCACAATGGCCAGGATACTCACTTGGCCTTTAATGTGAAATGGAGTGTTAATTTTTCTCTGTCACCTCTTAATTGCTTCCTTATTATACTGTTCAAGCAGTTAATTGCTAGACTGAGTGAAAGAGTGTTTTCAAGGGAAAGGAAATGCCACAGCATGAAAGAGAAAAAAAATAGAAGCAGAGCACTAGTGTAATTGGGCCTGATATAACGTTAGTTGTGGTATTGCCTTTAATGGTAACTACAGAAATTAATAGGAAAAGCCAAATTGTTTTCTATTGCAAAACAAGCTAGGAGACGCATCAGGCTGACACGCACTTAGCGGGATCGCACTCTCAGCAAATCAATCTGCTCCGTGGGTTTATACACGGAGCACTTCCTTCTGCTTCATCTCTTGCACTAAGGTACCTCACTTACTTGTAGTACATGAGCTGTTTCTCAGATCCATGTCTCTCGTTCTACTCACAGGTATCTACGTCATTGAAAAGAGCATCCCGGTGCCTCAAAGCAGGAAACACAAGGGCTGGAAGCAGCCATGCAGATGCAGCCTCTGGCTTTCCAAAGCTGTTGACTGTGACCGCTCTGCCAAGTTCTCCTGAGCGATCCTGCACAGCAGACATGAAGAAACAACTATCAGACGTTTTCCTGCCACTCCTGCAAAGGCAAGGAATCGAAATGACTGGCCTCACATTTCCAAAGGCTGTGAACATAGCCGGCAGCAGTTGGGTTCCCCTGCCTTGCCTTAGCCCAGCAACACTGATGCTCCTCCGCAGAAACAAAGGCCAGTCCTTTAGCAACAGAGACACACAAGTGACTAGGGAAGGACTTCACTGATGTCAGAGTGAAAACAGCTACTCCAGATGCAAAGGCAAGAATTACAGGCATTTGTTTAAACAACAACATGCGATTGCAGGCTCTAATGACGACCTTTGCATGACTGTGCTAGAATTCATGATTAGTATTGTTTCCACCATCCTCTATTTTTTACTAGAGAATGGTAATTCTTAGTGGAATAAGGAAGCAGAAAAAAACACAGATGCCTACAATACTGTGGCATGGTAGATTATGCACATTAATTCATGAGAAAAGTGAGTTAAATATGAATTTGGAATTAATTTCCTAAACGTAGCTCCCCAGTGGACAATAGAAAGGAGATGATGCAGTTACCAACTTGCGCTGATTAGCATTCAAACATGCTGATTAACTCATTAGTAAATCTACATTTGAAGTCCTCCCTTTTGTTTCCTTCTATAAACTGTTGTTCTTCCATTTCTTTGAGGAACAAAACACATTTATTCAGGACTGGGAAGAACAAGTCAACACCAGCTGAAAAATAGCAGATTTTATGGAGCACTAAAAATACCTCTCTTAATTTTATGAGAGTTTATGAAGTGGTGCTATCATCTGCTGTACTGGGAATGTATCAGACTTTCTGCAACTCTAAAACTCTGTCATAGGGAGAATCCCCAGCAGAAACCTCAGCTCATCTTCCTCAGCAATGGGGAAAGGCCCCGTTCTGGTCTTGTGAGCCAGACACCCACCAGCTCTCACAAAGGTGAAACATTCTGCAGCAATCACAGCACCAGCTCCCATTCCTGACTATGCAGAGTCAAGACATTCTCAAGTCATACAATCATAGAATAGTCAGGGTTGGAAAGGACCTTAAGATCATCCAGTTCCAACCCCCCTGCCATGGGCAGGGACACCTCACACTAAACCATGGCACCCAAGGCCTTGTCCAACCTGGCCTTGAGCACTGCCAGGGATGGAGCATTCACAACCTCCCTGGGCAACCCATTCCAGTGCCTCACCACCCTCACAGGAAAGAATTTCTTCCTTATATCCAATCTAAACTTCCCCTGTTTCAGTTTTAACCCGTTACCCCTTGTCCTGTCACTACAGTCCCTAATGAAGAGTCCCTCCCCAGCATCCCTATAGGCCCCTTCAGATACTGGAAGCTGCTCCGAGGTCTCCACGCAGCTTCTCTTCTCCAGGCTGAACAGCCCCAACTCAGCCCCAAGTCAGCCATCAGGAAACAGTTTCAAACCTCTGTAGGCCTTTTGAGTGATTATTTCAGTGTTTATTTAGTACTTTATTGGACTGAGCCCCTGAGAATTTGCACCATAACAGCATTGTGGTACTCTGAGAGATTCTTACTTCCTTTTATATAGTACATGCTATGTCTTGGCCATATCCCAGTGTCTCCACTGTTTTCATGTTTATATGGCCTTCCCTTCCACCTGACCTATACACATCACAAGCTTTAATTTATTTATTCTGTCCCACCACCTTATCATATATAAATAATGATATTTATTATTAAATATTTCACCCTTATGGAATGTTTAATCATAGAATGCTGAGGCATAGGATTAATTCAATATTCAAGGAGAACATATACTCTCTCCTCTGGCCTTCTAATGTTTTGCTGTTTAAACATAGGGAGAAAATTGTTAAAAACTCTTGAAACACATCAAGAAATCTCTCTCCCTCTGGTGCCATCAGCAAGTCTTCATAATTCAGTCTAAACCCACCTAAAGATCTCATTTTGCCCAGCAGAATGTCGGAAACCTTTATCCATGTAATACCTAAGTATACATATACTTACACTTATGCAGTATCTTGTTTTTCTTACACTATAGCAACAATCTCTTTCTATATTTCTGCAATTTAAGAGGACACAAATATGTTCTTTAAATAGGACAAAATTAAATTGAACAACCCAATGTCTTCTTTCCATAGAAATCCATTTTATTAAACTGCCTGTTTCCATTCTTACAGTTCTTTTACCTATATCTCTCCCCTTTTTCTCTTTAACTTCCAATTTGCCTTTGTCTAAGGGTACTGACAATGTCCTATATAGCCTTGAAATCAATTTAGTGAGACAGTCTCTTTGTACAACAATTTTTCAATCTGTGACATTTGCATTTCTATACCTTTCTTTAATTCACAAAGAACAGCATGTCTTATCCGAAGGAAACGGCAAAACTGAGCTCCAGGAATATTAACATCTTCTCCGTATCGGTCAAACGATTTAAAACAGCCATCCTTAAACAAATCTTTAATACAAATGAACACTTTTCGTGTCTAGGTTCTAAAGGCTTCGTTTTTAACACAAGTGGAAGGTCCTCATTATAACACAATAGAGTTAAGGGAGACAATTTCTCATTCCAGCCCATGAATTTATGCACTTTGCCCAGATTTTACAGACTGGGGAATAGTTGTTAACATAATCTTTTCCTGTCACACCATTTTTATGTATATTTTTGTCTGTGTTATCTCTCAAGTTCAAGTTCTGTATATAGATAACCTTCTATGAACTTGTAAGGGAAATTACCCTTGTCAGGTCCTTATCACTCAGAGCTGTGATGTGTTAATCCTACTCTCCTGTTGCAATACTTGCAGATTGGCTGTGTTTCATTGCAATAATTCTTCCATTTAGGTTCTCTATACCTTTTAAAGTACCGCAATCTTTACTGATACAAGAAATAGCCTACGCTTATCTCAACTATATAAATGAAAGAGTAAAATAACAGTCATTCACATAGAAAGCAAACAGAGAAGTATTAAAAAGAGCTGTGATTTTAAACTGAAGTTTGTTCTGCAGGATGTAGAGCAGCAGAGATTTAGATCCCACAAGGTAGAAACACTCACCTAAACCTTCTGATCTCCCAGACTGCTTAGAAACTGTCAATTTAACCAGGACTGTAAGGTCTTCTGTATCATACTGGAAAGGAGATGTCTCTACCAGTACAGAGAGCTGCAGGGCAGACAAATTATTTAAGATGAGTTAATGTCACTGAACACTGGGCTGCTAAAACACAGATGTCTGAGTTAAACTGTTTGACTATGCTCTCTCCATAGTTAGAGACAGACAGCAGGTCTCCCACCTAAAGCAGGTCAGATGAATTCCCCTCTGGAGGTAGAGGGCTGACAGCTGAAGGACCCTGGATGCCAGGCTTAGACAAAGTGCCAGGCTTTAAGCTGGATAAGCAAAGCAGGAAAAACCTGTCCCATGAGTTTGCTTCCCTCAACAACTCCATCACTTCTTCCGTGTGACCCCCTGTTTGGCATGCTTATACATCCAGCTATTCCTTTATAAGTACAGCACCTCTTGAGAACAAAGGAACAGCTCAGCACAGTCAGGAACTGTAAATCCACACAGAAATCTCTCCGTTCAGGTCTGTGTAACATTCCTGCTCAGGCTGTCCTCTGGACTCAAAGTTGCCATGAGTTACATACCTCAGGAAAGATGGTGAATTGCAGCTTCTCTGCTTTAAAAGTAGGAAAACATCAGCATTTTTGTGACAGGAAGGGAAAACACTAACAAGGCAATAGCAAAAACAGGGCTGTCAAAACACTGACAGGGAAAGTAGTGTCTTAAGAAACTATCCTTTGACACCTTCCTGCCATAAACTACTCCTCTTCCTCCAAATTAAACATCTTCTCAGCAGAGGACCAGATTTCAAGGGATGCTCATCAGCCAGCACCAAAGTCAACAGGCGCTGAAGGTGCTCAGCATAATTCCTTAAAAGAAGTCTAGGTCCCCCAAATGCAATGACAAATACAACTGACCAAAACAGCACAAAGCCAACTTAAGATTCATACATGAAACTTACTTAACTTACTTTACCCTTTCTGCTGGTCTTCAGGTTGAGTGCTTCTGAGATGAAACTGCTCTGCAAGTCTGCAAAGCTTTTTTCTTCTAAGTAGGAGAACAAAGACCCTGCCCAACAATATGACTCCAGGAGCTGAAGTGCATGGAGATCACTGGATGGTGCAGTAATTCTCCCACATTCATATGCCCACTGGAAAGTCTTCAGGTTTTTCCCTGGCGTTTAGAATAGGTTGAAATGTTTTCTGCTTGAGGATCCTCACCTCTATATTCAAAATAACAAAAGAAAACACCCTAAGTATGCGTTTTCTTAAATACACCTAATGGTGACAGACAAAAGCCAAGTCTAGTTCTGGAAAATACGGGCATTTCTTGACTGAGAAAAGTCGCATCTCTTATCTTTGCCAGTTTTCCCTTTTTGCTCTAAAAATCTGTAGGTATTAGTTGCATAAAATGGCCGCTGATGCCTCCTCCATGCTCTAGTTCAGAACTTCAGACCCAGCTTTCGTTGGCAATAGACTCCTGATCAGAGAGTTCGTACATGACGTGTATCAGCAGTAGCAAAACCAACCCAAAATTAGGTTCTAACCTTTTGTATTAACACATTTCTGGAGCACCTACAGTGACTGATGCACTCCAGACTGAAACAGGAGCCACACCGAGCAGTGCTGGTTCAGTCTTGGCTGGTTCCAGTAGATTCTCTGCTCCAGCTCCTCTGCTTAGCACAAGGTCAGCTAAAGCAGGTTGTCCAGGACTGTTTCCAGTCAGGTTTTGAATATTTCCAAGGACTGAGACTCCATAACTCCCCTGGACAACCAGTTCCAGTGTTTCCCTTACACTCAGAAATGGTTTTATTACATTTTAAGAGAAGGAAATGTTGGACATAAATACTACTACATAGTGGGGACACCAGAAGACCCTCTTTCCATCTCCCCACCTCAGGAAAGCTCAATGTCATCTTTGAGAGGTGCTTAACCAACCTGCTCCCAAAGATATTTCCATGACAAAACCACCACAGCCTCCTGCCTCTGTTTCAGTCCTTCACTTTCCTTCCACTCCTCATCCACCTGCCTTCCCTCCTTACTTCCATTAGGCTGTTAGATTTTACTTCCTCACTTGAAGTATTTAAATACAACTGAAGTAAACAATTGGGATGAAATTCATTCCACTACTGTCCTGTTAAAGCCAGCAGATTTATTTTAGGTTTGAATTTGCTCTTCTTATGTGAGAAATGGGGGATTCAGGAGGAGATAAAAGAAGACTGCAGAGAAAAACTGACCTTGGTGGTCATATTTTCTTTAATCCACGAGGGCCACTCAATGAATGCATATGGCCAGAGCAACAATAGCACTTGCATTTAAACTCGGGTGGGTGTAAATATAGGTAAGGGCACTAATCAGCCAGGTGGCTACATGTTACCCTGAACACAAGCAATTAAGTACAAGGGCAATTTTCTCCCAGAGGTTAGTTATTTCATAGCCAATTACCCAGGCAGCTTCACCCCACTTTGAACTGTGTGTAGAGTAAGAGCCATGTCTGCATCTGGACCTTCAATAGATTCCCTGTAGCTTTAGCCATCAGCCCTATTCATCTTTTTCTAAAGTAGTTACAGCATCCACCTGCCTTTCAGTATTTAACTCCTTCATTTGTAAAGAAGCAAGCAGAACATTTGAACAAAAAGATATTTTTATCTTTAGAATAGGCAAGGCAATTTTAGCACTGTATGTCTATGAAACTCAGCATTCAGCCTTGTGTTGTATCTTCACAAAATCAGTGAATGCACTTTATTAAACATATACACTCGCTCTGCAAAAGCTGGCCTTTCGAGTAGGAAATCTGTATTATTTCGTGTTCAGAGTATGGCAGGTCCCAGGAAGATTGAATGCACAAGAGGAGAATACATCCAGCTAACACAAGCTAACACTGCAGTCTCTTTATGTAGTTCATTAATAATATAATTACACCTTAAATATTAATAGAATATGCAGAATAACTCTGAACAGATACATATCACAGACTGTGTATGTCTGTGTGCATATAAGCAGTGCTTATGTTTTATTCCCACAAGACACGCATTACATTATGTTACAAACACATACATCTGCATCTCCGCGCATCCAGCCCACACACATGGGTTCAAGGCTGATGAGGCCATTGCAAGAGCAGAAGTGCTGTGAGCTCCAGAGGCAGACCTCACCACGCTGTCCCACCCTTCCCTGTTGAGCACCATCCTTAGAACTGTAATTGTACCATCAGATGCTGAGCTTTGCTCTCCAAAACATGCATCCCCCAGGCCACCGTTCAGCAAAGTGCTAGAGCTCTGAGAGCAAGCACTCCCATTAAAATGTGTACCTGGACTGGGTTCTGCCTATGGGTCACCACCACAGCAAGCTCCTCTGCCAGGTCCTGCATCTCGCCTGCTGGTGACACAAAAAGCCTGAAGAGAACATCACAGATCATCTCCCACTGACTACGCTGCCCTGGGATCCCCCGAGAACCCACATCCCTGCTGTATGTAACACAAAAGCATCTCCCAGCACTATCCAGGTCAGCCTAGAGGAGAATCAGGGAACAGTTTGATGGCATAGAACCACAGAATGGCTTGGGTTGAAAGGGACCTTAGTAATCATCTCATTCCAACCCTCTGCCATGGGCAGGGACACCTTCCAGGCCGCTGTGATTTCAAAGGCATTTCTGAGCCCCTGGGTCTCATTGTGAAAAAACTTCCCTATATTACAAAGTAGACAGAGACACTGAAGTAGAGTCAGAATAACTGGAAAGTCAAGAATTGTTATGAATTTTCCTGAACTTTCCTTTGCATTCTTTCTGAGAGATTTTAATATAAGGGATAGTGCAGATCTTTTCACAAAGAGAAAAGATCTACAGTGTGGAACAACACCACAGGCAAGCCACACATTGTCCTTCCATAAAGGTTTTAAAAAGAAACTGGGGAAAAGGAAGGATGCGTTGGACCTTACAGTTTCTAGGTTGCCAAGTTCTTGCTAAAATAAGAACATAAAAGCAGAACACAAATAGAATTGTGAATAAAATAAAATTAAAAAAAAAAACAGGAAGAAAATCAGCTGTTTCAGTAGCTGCTTTTCACTCTGGACAGGTTAATGAATTGAAGTGGATATTTGAGGGAAAAAGTTGTATTCCAGCTGTCATGATGCTGCAGGAGCGAGTGTGTGTGGAGGCAATCACACCCAGCACTGATGGAGCGGCAGGCCTGCGGGTACCCAGCAAGGTACCTCTGCTTCCCAGGACTGTCCATCATCCCCATGCCATCACACCTCCACATCCCATGGGACAACAGGGCTCCCAGGACACACCGGCCACTGCTTGCTTATGTTTGCTTCCCAAGGCATGTGTCTGCTCCAACAAGGAAATATCCAAGTCAGGACTTAATTTCTTTGCTTTCCCCATGGGGGAAATTTCTAGCCCTAGTAAATAGGCAGTAAAAACCATCCCTCGGGACAGTCTGGGGCAGAAACACCATTTGGCACAAGTCAGCAAAGACCAAAAAACCACAATAAAATCCCCCCAGCTCACAAGAAGTCTACCTAAAAATTGTGTAATTTCACTGTTTATAGTCAGGATCATCACAAAAGAGACAGTTGTAACTTGGCTGCACTAATTCCCACACTTCTCCCCTTCCCAGTCTCCAAGTTTCTCTCAGTACAAAGCCTGTCATTTTAAGCATTACTTATTTACCAGGGAACTATGGTATTGTTTGATACGCAATGGAATATTTCCATTCATTTTGTCTGCTAAAAAATAACAACATGAAATGAGAATAAGCTTTAAAATCTGTTACAGTAAGAGCAAGAAACCAAAACTAATCAAACCCATGCTGGTAATTAGTGAGGTGTCACTCTCATAACTAAGTTCTGTCCACTACAGCTATTTTTATCTACATAATAATTTATTATTTACATCATAAATTATAATTACATAGTTCAGGCAGAGAACTGTAAAAGGTATTCAAGTTTTATAGCTTACATTTTAAATTAGCTGCCCCTAGAATATACCCAAAATGAAAGTTCAGATTCACTTTTGAATTGTAACCCTCCCGCGTCCCAGATTGAAAAAACATGTTCTATCAAACATCCACATAAATTACAAAAGCTCCTTTAAAATGTCAAGTCTAGATCCTACTGTGCTTCGGATGTCAGCATAACTCTAAAAATACAGCGTGATGAGGCATGGATACAATTTATAGCGGAAATCAAGCGTGCTTTTCAACTTGCACGCACAGAAAGATGTGGCGAGGCAAACAAATCTTCCCCTTTGCAAATAGAAGTTGAACTGTAACTGTATTAACTTCACACAATTGTCCAGGTTAGTGAGATCTGATTGCAGCATTTGGGGATACACAGCTCTAATGGGGTTTTTATGACTTGCCAGTAGCGTTACCAAATGAGATGCTGCCATTGTGAAGACAAATGCACTAGGTGAAGGCATCGAGTTGGCCATTTGCTTAAAACGGTGTTGGAGAGGAAACTCCTCTCAGTTCAGCTGCAACACCCCTCCTGGAGAGCTGAATGCTTGCAGTAAAAATCAGTAAGCAAGCACTTTTAGGCTGAGCCTGAGATGAGATAGACCCTGCCAGCTCCCTGGATCTGTGTGGAGCCCCATTTGATTAAAAGGGGCCCATTGCAGAGAGAAGAATCTCTTTTTATAGCTGTTTTATAGATCTCACTGCGGGACCAAACCTGCAGTATTTCCTGTTGATCAGTAACTATTTCCCAGAGAGGAAAATGCTTTAACGTTAAAAATGGAGCAACAAATATTTGTAAATAAATAATGTAAATACAGTAGTATTTATATTGAAAACTTGAGGAATAAAAAGGAAGATGGGGTGGGATAAAACAACACTCTGAATTAGCACAAATGTAGGCATTTTCACATATGAAGAGAAAATTCCTGGACTTCCTTCAACAAAAAACGAAACCTTTGCTACGTGGGTATCTTACAAACTGCTTCAGCTGCAACAGTGTGAAATAAAGAGGATAGTTTTGGGAGAAATTATGTGTAAATAATACAGTTCCTAGGAAGCAAATCCTTACTCTATTTACACAACTCAGCCATGCGCCATCAGAAATCTCTGCCTGGTTATCAGCATCCCTTCGAGGTCACTCCTTTTCAGGCAGCCTCTTGCCCGGGAGGAATGGAGGACAAGACATTTGCTGTTGCAGATTTCTCTGCTTTAAACC